ACAGACTGAACCAACGGCATCCACGCGTTTAATCAGAGCGCATACAGCGACGACCCAAATCACGCGGATCGCACAAGCACCTCTCCACCATGCGCGTAAGCAACACTCCGTGCCCATGCGTGGCATTCATGAACGCGAAGACCACCCATGGAACGAGCTTGCAGACGCACTAACAAAAAAGGCATGCCGCAGTCAACTCTAGCAGAAGCAGCATGCACGATCGACCCTAGACTTCCTCAGCAAGACGCACTCCTACAATACCTACTAGCAGATCAGGATCAGCAACAGCTAAGCTGGACCATCCACCAAACAGACCCAACCAATGACCACTACGCCAATCAGATGATTCACAAAAACGGAAATCGCTACTTGGCCCACGTACCACACCAAGGTGCACCATTCGCCGCGGCAAATGGCGAACAGACGCACGCGGACATGCGCCCACATACAGATCCCGCAGCCACATATGGCGAATCTACTACTGTCCACCTCAATATTGCCACTTGCAGCGTACAGAGGGCACATGTGGGCGCGACAGGCGACGACCTACACCGCGACGCGCATACACTCCAACACATGACGAGAGGGCAACACTTACGGACACAGGCGCCACTGCAGGTTCACAGCATGGGACCACACGAAGCTACAGCTCGGAGCGACTCCAGCACTGCCGACACCTACGCGCAGTTCCTTACGCCACAACATCTTTCCAAACTGGGATGCAGCTTGCTTGTCGGCACTGCAATGCCGTGCGCAAGCGCGCCCAAACGACAGATCTACTTCAACCCAAGCGCTGTGCTGGATGGACCACAGAAAAGCGAAAGCGTATATGTCGCGCGTGCACCCCATACGCAACGCGACACCAGACGCTCTACCAGGCGTTGGAATAGTTCCACAGCGTGGCCAACACGTTTTCTCGCACAAATATAATTGCAGACTTCAGCACAATACTCAACACCAGCAGCCCGCCCGGCATCGGCAACGCAGCGCCACCCACACATCAACAGCCCAGCGAAGACGACACGGCAGCACAATTCCGACAGACTATGGCAGCCCATGGCCTCGCACGACAGCACAATAATAAACCGCGCGCCTACGCACGCACTTGTAACATATAGCAAAGGGCAGCTGACTAAGCATAACGACGACTACATTGAAATTGCCCGCGACTGGCTAACATACATTACTGACCTACTCGCCGACCATCAGTACGATCCAAAAGGAAGAAACGAGGGCCGCTACCCAGTCCACCCCACCAGCGAGCACAAGCGACCACATACCAAAGCAAGAAGGAAATAACCACCTCCATTTGACCCAGCCAAGATGCAAAACCCAAACCGATGGGCCCAATTTGCCAACCTAGTCGACAACCATCCACTACCACCTTGGGGCACGCACAGCAACCAGCATCACAAACTTACTACCATCGCAACTCACGCAGTAGTAGGATGGTAATGCTTCCCTGCAGACGGTTTTACACCTCGACAAGCTCACATCACCACTGGGATCATGAAGCTCATGCGTCCCAAGCGACGTGCCACAACAATCCTACGCCCAAGCCAGAATACGAGAAATACCACTACCTGATAACGACATTCCACTGCACTTCCCAGGAAGGCCAGCCAACCAACGCATACACGAGATTCACCCAGCACTATACTCAGCCACCGCCGACCAGAATTACGACGGAGAGCAAACAACACGGCACTTCCTGGCAGCAGCCAAAACACCATTGGCCTATCAACTCAAGCAAGACCGTTCCGACCACATTGCAGCTCCATCCAACACCTTCCAGCGCTTCCACGACATGCGCGAACACTGAGCAACGTGGCAATGCGCAAAGGCTGGACTACGATACGGACCAGCCACCAGGGAAAGAGCAGCCAAGGCGCACGCCATGCCATTTTTCACTGACGCAACGGGGCAGGTGTTAGAGACTGACACTTAACAATGGGACAAACTCAAATGGTTTTTAGCACGGCAAAAAGAAACCACGCTTACGGACAACGGCGGCGTAGTTCGGGGCTACAACAGACAACAAGACTCCCAATCCACCAACTACACCAATTGTACTGGACTGCGCGATCTCACTCCCAAAGACAACGGCGTTCATAGAGAATGTGAAGAGGCGCAAACAACCAGCACTTGACACGGTTGCAGTGAGGAAGCCCCGCTCGTACCCCATCCGTGCGGAGCTGAACCCAACTCTCTTGGCATTCCGGAGTGTGCTTCTGAGCTCGCAGCGCAACAATTTCTTTGAACACCCATCTGGTATTCTCGGAAGCCGGGCAAAAGCTGCTAAATCCGTGGCTGCTAAAATCGACCTCCGGGAAGTTGTCTTCGTCCTTCCGGGAAGAAGCCCGTTGACTGTTTCCCGTGCCGCGCCCCATTCCGGGAAGCTGTGTTTTCCTTCCCGGAGGGCCGTTTTAGCAGCCACGGTTTTAGCAGCCCTCGCCCAGCTTCCGGTATTCTACACGGCTCCATCGTTACATCGAGATCAAGTGCTGTGTTCAACGGCGCCTCCACAGCCGCCACCACTCTTCATGGGCTCGTGACGCCACAGGTTGCCGTGCTGGCTCGGGTGGGCAGGCCTGAGCCCAGCGACTCTACCTGACTTCCGCACGTTTGTCTCAACGTCACATTCTCTGCCTGGGGGACGTCACATTCGTGGACGTTTGTCTCAACGTGGATCTAATATCTTTTGTGAACGTCACAAGATAACATATGTCGGCGACACAGTTGTGGACGTTTTCTCTAATCTCTGTCGCACGTTTGTCTCAACGTGGATTGAAATTGCTGCCCTATCTTACAACATTGTCTGATGATGGCAAGCCTTGAACCCATCCAGGCTCCTTTACAAGCTCGCTGCGCCGTGGGCCGCCGCCGCACATGTGAGCTGTTTCGGAGCCGCTCCCGCGTCGCGGGCTGCTGCAGCAGCGGCAACAGCTCATCGTCGTCCACTGCACTGGGAACTTGCGCAAACGCTGGATTCGCCATGCCAGCAGCAGCAACAACAACAACAAGAACGATACCCCCGATTCGTCCCTGCACTTTTTTTGTTGTTCCGGGCTCGGCGAGATGCATATACTATAAGATGTGGCCGCCCAGAACTTCTGAACAAGTCTCAACCTAACGCGTAGCGTTACAGAGAAATCTGGACTCAAATTCGTAAGTGTTCGATTGGGTTCAGGTGGCCTCTGGGCCTGTGAGTGCCACCACGCGCCAACCAAGTTCTGTGGCAGGTTCGATGCTCAAATGGCTATGGCGGACTCGGATCCGAATGATAATGCTAATGCACCAGGGAAGAAGAGGAGGATATAGGAACGCGAAGGACCGAGAAGAGTGGCGGCCAAGGCTCTGGCGGCGGAATTCAGGAAGAAGGGGGGTGAGAGTGGAAATGCGCAAAATGAGGAGGAGGATGAGGAAGCGGAAGAGGAGGAGAAGGAGGAGGAGGCGGATGTGAGAAGGGACGGACGTAGGCGCAGAGCGAATAAGTTCATAGGAAAAAGGATCTCGCTGTCTTTCATCCAGGAGGGTATCTGTCACCAGTCCGTGAAGTTCCAGCGACATTTTCGTGAGGCACCCGCTGGCAGGTAGGCTTCGTGCTTGGTGTGCCTGCTGTGGGCAAGATGGCGAGGAGAAGAGGGGTCGCCAAGCAGGGGTCAATCATCGATTACTGGACCGCTCCTGGGGTGCGTTCTGACAAAATTATCCCGGCAAAGCAACCTAACAGCGATATGTAGAAGCATATCTGAAAGCATTCCCCTTAAGATTCAGATGAAAATCCAGTTGTAGAATTCTGCTGTTCTCGCAGTCGTAGTCGCATTCGCGATGACAGTCGCAGCGGCACGGCACGCAGTCACAGCCTCAGCCTCAGCCTGCCTCAGCCTCAGCCTCAGCCTCAGCCTCAGCCTGCCTCAGCCTCAGCCTCAGCCTGCTTCAGCCTCAGCCTCAGTCTGCCTTCAGCCTCAGCCTCCTCCTCTGCCTTCAGCCTCGCCTCAGCCTCAGCCTCAGCCTCAGCCTCAGCCTCAGCATCAGCCTTCAGCCTCAGCCTCAGCCTCAGTCTGCTTCAGCCTCAGCCTCAGTCTGCCTTCAGCCTCGGCCTCAGCCTCAGCCTGCCTCAGCCTCAGCCTGCCTCGGCCGCAGCATCAGCCTGCCTCAGCATTCAAAATGTGGCCCCAAGAATGGAGTTCTGGGAACTAGAAGAACACGAGTGGCCTACAGTTGGCTCCGGGCATTCAAAATCATGCCCAAGAATGGAGTTCTGGGAACTTGAAGAGCACGAAGTGGCCTACAGTTGGCTCCGGGCATCCAAAATGTGGCCCGGGAATGGAGTTCTGGGAAATCGAAGAGCACGAAATGGCCTACAGTTGGCTCTGGGCATCCAAAATGTGGCCCGGGAATGGAGTTCTGGGAACGAAGAGCACGAAGTGGCCTACAGTTGGCTCCGGGCACTCAACATGTAGCCCGGGAATGGAGTTCTGGGAGGTCGAAGAGCACGAAGTGTGTGACTGTTGACGAAAGACGAGCGCGGCTCTGTTCCCGGTTCTCCAGAATGTGGCCCGGGAATGGAGTTCTGGGAGGTCGAAGAGCACGAAGTGTGTGACTGTTGGCGAAAAGCGAGCCCGGCTCTGTTCCCGGTTCTTCAGAATGTGGCCCGGGAATGGAGTTCTGGGAGGTCGAAGAGCACGAAGTGTGTGACTGTTGGCGAAAAAAGATTCCCGGTTCTCCTCCCGCCCAGGCCCCCCTGAGGAGTCATGATGCTCTCTTTTGACCCTACTAGAAACCTATCAGCAAACGCTGTTAGGTAAAATTCGAAGCGGATTCAGACGTGGCCACGAGGACGCCCCAGGACGAGCAAAAACGTCCAGAGAGCGATGCTCGAACTTCGCCCTTCGAAGGCCTTCCCCTCCCTCTCTCAAGCTGCCCCTGATCCTAGGCGCGCGGCAGTACCCTGATCTTCGAGGTGGGCAAGACTCGAGCAATCGCGGCCGCGTGTCCTGTACCTTCTGGGCCTGGAGGCCGCAGTTCGCGAGCTCCTTTGCCAGCAACGCCTCGAGCTCCTGCGGTCCCTCCCTGCGTCCCTCGACTCTTCTCTCGGCCCCCCCTTTCACTGACTCCTTATTCCTCTTTCTTTCTTTCTCTCTCTCTCTCTCTCGCCCACTTGCTCTTGCTCACAATGTCTCTCTTTCTCTCCCTGTCCTTGCTTTCTCGCTCTTGCTCTCTCTCTCTCTCTCTCCCTCTCCAAATCTCGCTCGCAGCCTCCGACCCGCATGGAGAACCCGGAGGAGATCGCTCTGGCACAGAGCCCCACGGAGGCTGGTGCCTCATCTGTGGGCTGCTGCTCCTCGCCTGGGCCGGCAGCGGACACCGATGCCCGTGGCCCTGGCCCCGCGGTCCACGTCGCCACCGTTGCACCGCGCCAGGGTAGCACGGGCAATACAGTCGGGGCCTTCATCTAAGGAACCCGAAATAAGGAACGAGGCCCCTTTTTTTCCAGAAGTTAAACTTCGATTTCCGATCGAAAACATCAGGAAAGCCTGAGGCAAGCTGCGAAACACTCAAGGAACGCGGAGCCCCTCCCCAACGAAAAGGGTTCCTTCCTCAGGGCCCCGACTGTAGCCCTGGGCATGGGCAGCAGCCCCGCGCCCCCCAGGCGGACGAGCCAAGTACCCACCTAGAACAAGGCAGTGGACCCAGCGGCGGCCTAAAAGGCAACCACACCTCCACCGCAGCGGAAACCGAGCCGGCCACCACGACCAACCTGCGGGGGGCAGAGGAGGCCGATGGCGAAAGCCTGATGTCGCTGCACAAAGTCCTTCTGCTGGCCCTGCCCGGCTGCTGCTTGGAACCGTGCGGGCCGGTGGTGCCTTGAGAACGCATGGGACGTGCCATCCTTCGCTGCTGAGGCCGCTGCTCATGGGCGCAACACGCTCACGGCCACTGCCGCCATGGCAACCGCAACGGCGCCGCTCCTCGTCACGGAGTCAAGCCCTGCGCCCACCCCATCTCCTCTGCACGGCCATGTCACGGCCAAAGTCACATCCGCCCGGCACCGTGTCGGTCGGTTCCACCGCCGGCGTCTCGTGGCGCAGGCGGCCGAGCGCCCCCGCCAGCCACCGGCGCGGGGCACCAAGCAGCCCGCGCCCTGCAGTCGGTCCCTTCGTTTTGCACACTGCGGCCACTGCGGGCTCGAGCCATGTGGGGCTCCCACGCCAAGAAGCGGTCAACAGACCCCACGGGACTCTATCAGCCCGCGGCCCCGCCACCGCGCGCCGACTCCAGTGGGTAGCTCGCCGGGGCCACGCCTCTCAGTCAGCCGAGCCTGACCCTGAGGTTGCACCGCGTGGGCGTTTCGCTGACGACGGCGACGGCGGTGCCCAGCCGCCAAGCGAGCCCACTGGCCGCTTTCGCCTCGACACCGCACCACAGCGGTGCACTCTATCAACGTGGCCCAAGGAGGCAGTCGAGCACAGAAGGGCGGGGAGGCGCTACTCGACGGCTCCACTACCGCCCGACCACCTGCTCGACGACTTGGCGGGGCCAGGCTGAAAAATTGATGACAACGCCGGTGACATCGCGGCTGCCGCCCATGTCATTGGCCGCGCCCGTTCTGGCATGCGGCACGGGCCGAACTCATCCCGAACATCAAATATCATGGGTGGAAACTGGAGGCAAGGTCCAGACGGGAGCAGCATGGGAAAGACGCCCAACACCGCGTCTACGTCACTACACACCAGACGCACGCAGCAAACTACTGCCCAGGTCCCCAGTGAAGGAGGTGCGGTCAGGGCCACAGGCCCCGCGGTGCTCCTCCAGTGCAAGGCTCTAGAAACCCCCGAGTGGTGCCGAGCACGTGACCGCCACCAGCGCGTCTGCAATTTCAGCGGGCCTAGTCACCCCGCACGTTTGATACTGATAAGAACACACTACGGGTAATACGGAGGTTGGGGGGGGAAGGAGGAGGCGGTCGATTTGCGATGGCTCTGGGTTCTTTGGTGGTTTCTTCAACTTTCCCATTGTCGCGCACATTTGCCCATCTATCTATCGACCTCTATATCTGATTACCTGTCTGTGACGACCATCTCTCTATCTGTACATGCATATATATATATATATATATACAGGTATAAATTCTAAAAACCTAGCTGCACAGTTATCATTCTATCCATCCACCAATGAATCAACCAACATAGCAACACACACATATATGTATATATATGTACATATGTATGTCTCTAATTGTATATTTATGTCGGCGTGTTATATATATGTGTATATATATACATAGACATACACATACATACATACATACATACATACATACATACATACACACACACATACATACATACATACATACATACATACATACATACATACATACATACATACATACATACATACATACATACACACATGCATGCATGCATGCATGCATGCATGCATGCATGCATGCATACATACATACATGCATACAGACATGCATACACATACATCCATACATCCATCCATCCATCCATCCATCCATCCATCCATCCATCCATACATACATACATACATACAAGCATGCATGCATGCATATATATATATATATATATATATATCGGAGGTTGAGGGGTGAGTCCGACGTGAAACGGAGACCCCCCCTACCGGGAAATCGATTTCGGTTTCGGGTTCGTGTCGTGCGTGCCGTGCGTGCGTGCGGGCGAGGCGAAGCCGCGTGAGCGGGCGAGAGGAAATCCTCCTGTGGCTGGGCCGCGGCCGGAGCAAATGTTTCTCCTCTGGCGGCCGTTGGCGCGCGGTGTCCCGCCGGTGTCCCGCGGATGTCCCGAAATCCTCCTGTGGCTGGGCCGCGGCCAGACCAAATGTTTCTCCTCCAGCGGCCGGTGGCGCGCGGTGTCCCGCCGTTGTCCCGCTGGTGTCAAAATTTTTTTCCTGTGGCTGGGCCGCGGCCGGACCAAATGATGCTCCTCCCGTCAAAGGGTGGCCTGGGGTGTCCCGCTGGTGTCCCACCATAATCACACTACTCACTAGACTCCGCCCCACAGGCATCGTCAGAACAACAATCACCACTTTTGCCCATTGCTGCCAGCCCCCAACCTCCTTATCACCCGCAGGGTGGTCGTATAGGTATATCCCTATATCTACACATCTCTCAATCAGTTATCTGTCTACCAACCATCTGGACAACCATCGGGGCAACCATCGGGACAATACATATATATATATATATATGTATATGTATCCTCCTCTCTATCTATCTGTATCGATCTATCTATCGATCAACCATCGGGACAACCATCGGGGGAACCATCGGGACAACCATCGGGGGAACCATCGGGACAACCATCGGGACATCCATCGGGACAACCACAACCATCGGGACAACCGCCGGGACAACCGGGGGCCACGCCCGGCGCTCGGGGGGCGGCCCTTTTGGCGATAGATGGCCTCTACGGATGGAGCTCGCGCAGCTTCGCCTCGCCCGCATGCACGACACGAACCGAAACCGAAACCGATTTCCCGGTTGGGGTCACTTCCGTTCCAAACCCGCAACCTCCGATACCCGCGCATCCGTAAAGTCATAGTCCGTTGGGACGTGGCCTGCACTTCGGAGGCGGTCTGAAGCATCCGCTTCCTTGGCGGCACGTGGGCCCTTGGTGACCTCGCGTTGGTCCACCTGGCTGGCATCACGGATCAGCCAGCCTACGACATCATGGGGGCTATTGACATGGATGGCACGCAGCGCCCTGACGTTGTCCGAGGGCCTCCTAGCCCACTGGCCTCCTTCTCAGGTGCCCGCTGAGAGCCTACCACTGGCTGCGGCGCCAGGGCTTCACGGCAGTCCGCTCCTCAGCGCCCAAGCTGCATCCGCTGGACCCCGTCGGGCCACTGGGCAGTGGCCCCGACCCCGCACTGGTAGCAGCCAGCAGGGTCCCAATAGCAGCCTCGCCGAGAGCTGGCGCGGCCCCGTCGCTCGCTCCCCCGCCGCGACAGTGCATCTGGCCAACAGGCCCCGCGCCGCACGCCCAGCTTTAGGTCGAGCCTGTCCCCTACGTGGGACTTTGGACGAAAAATAGAGCATACTCGAAACACGCCCAAGATTTGCCCAAAAATATTTAAAAAATAGTCCCCTGACTTGACTATTTTTGAATATTCCCGCTGTAGAGGGGACAGGCCCGACTTAAGCCCATCAGCCCCGCGACGGCTCGAGGTCCCGAAATCTCGACAGCGGCCGCCACGCCGCAGAGCCACCAGCGGCCAGCGACCCAGGCGCCGGGAGGCGTCCTACGGGCGCTACGCGGAGCGCGTCCAGACGCGAATTGCTCCCGACCAACAGGTCCAGGCGCATGGCCCCACACTGAGCAGCGCCCAATCCAACGCGGAGCGCCTGGCCCCGCACAGTGAGCGCCCAGTGATTGGGAAACAGCCTCCTGCGGCCGCACGCATGGCTAACGACGCCCACCTCATCGCGACACAGACGGCCGGTGATGCTGCTCAGACCGCCATCGATACCAGCCGTGCTGCCAGCGCGGCGGCCGAAACCGACGCCCCTCAGCGACGCGCATCTCGGGCACAGCGGCTCGAGCCCCCTGGGGAAAGTGACGGCGGGGGTCACACTCGCTGAGTTGATCCGACGCCTCTGAAATCAACTTCGAAGAGGCTGTCCGCAGCCACCACGTATCGGGGCTGGGGTGCGTTGCTTGCCCCACATCGCCCGTGCGCCAGGCTGGCCCCTCTACGACTCACAAGACAAAGGCCAGCATCACGTCCACGATGGAGCTTACCAGCCGCGAGGCGTCACGATCCACGGGCGCAAGGTCACGGGCGCCGTCCCCAACTGTGTGGTTTTCGATATCGGGACGTTCAACTGCAGTGGGCGCCCACGGCGCACCCAATTGATAGGCACGACCCTCAGGTTCTGCATGGCCAAGTCCTCCTCGATCTCAGCGAAGCTGGTCCAAGTTTCTGGCCTGCCGACGAGCTGCCCGCCGCC